GGGCCTTTTCCAGCACCCCTCCCAGGGACTCCAAGAAGGCCGGGTACTCCACACTGCCATTCGGCCCATAGGCACAAATTGCAGTGAGAGACCTATCGCCGACCCGAAGGCGCAGGGAAGCGACCCTCTCGTTCACCGGGGTAAACTCCAACACATGGCGGCTAAGCTGGGGAGCTATGAGCAAGCCCACACCAGCCCGCCGCCTCTCACCGCGGGCAACTCCAGAGTAGTAGAGAGTCCAGCCTCTCTCGAGGAGTAAAGTTCCAGAGCCCAAGCTGTGCGTGGAGGTGAGCCCGACTATATTTGTTGGGTTTTCCCTATGTAATAATATTGATAACAGTAAGGTCTAGACCTTACTTTGTAAAGGGTTCTTTTGTTGTGATTTGGCGCTATACAAATAAAATTTGATTTGATTTGATTTCTCAGTCTGTTCAAAGATGTGTCATTTCCCCTACATAGACATGTTTAAAGTGTTGATGTGCTCGAACACATTGGCAAGATACGGCACACACACGAGCCAGAGTTCATCACTGAGCATCTCAGTGTACGGTTATTGTATGAGAGGAAGGCGGCGATTTCATGTTTAAGCTCATAAAAGCGTGACATTACCTTTCCCCTCGAAAACCAGCGAACTTCTGAATGATACAACAACTGGATGCTCTCATCCCAGGTCTTTGCACAGCTGTGTGAAACAGCGGCTGTTCTTGGCGCTCTGTTTAATGTAGTTCACTATTTTTATGGCACCTTTCAGTGCTGTATCAAGCACTGGTACCATATTCTTAGCCACAAGTGCTTCTCAGTGAAGAAAGCAATGAGTCCACATCGCATTCAGCGCTCTCTCCAGGATTTTCTTCACAACTCCTGAGTTTTTTTCCAGTCATGGAAGCTGTGCCGTCAGATGTGTACCAACACAGTCCCACAGAGTCCAAAAACAAATCAATAGCGTTGAAAATGTCCTCTGCCTTTGTGTTTTCCATACTTTGTGAGGCCTGTTGACACACAACTTCAGCTTTTGATTTCATCTTACATACAGTAATTATTCATCTTTTTGCTTTCATCTTTCATAGTTAAGCAGTTTTTTCAACTTCCACAATTGTTCAGCCCTGCATCTCATGTTTCAGCTGTTTCAAACTACTTCTGCCATTTTTTCACAACCTTCAATTATTTCAACACACAGCTTAAGCCATTTCTTCTCATCCCTGAGCTGTTTCAGCATTTGATTGCAGGTATTTCAGTCTTTTTAGGGCGATACTTCAGCATTACAGCATCCACACACATTTTCGACAGGAAATGCATTTCTCTAGTTATTATTCTTCCACCCTTTTTTGGCACTTAATAAGTCCAGCATACTTTCAGATATACAGGCCATTGAGGTCTTGATCTCTTCAACTCTTCAAGGACATCCCTGCTTGTACTCAACTTTTTTTTATAACATTTATACTTTTAAATCTATTCAGCTTTATATTTTGCAATACAAGTCAATGGGAGCTCAAAATGCTGAGTCAATGACACAGTCTTGGAGTCATTTGGTGGTTCATAAAATGCAGCACAATCTGTCTCTCTCCCCCTCCCCCTCTTGCTCTCTCTGTCTCTCTCTCCCTCTCCCTCTCTATCGCCCCCCCTGCCCACCCATGTTCACACCTACTTGTTTTACCTAGTTTGTGGGGTCCTATTGGACTATTTTCACAACTTCAAGGGTGAATTGGATATAAGGCTGTTTGAAAGTTTACTATACTGAGGACAAACTACAAATCGGAACCAATAAATAGAATAAACATCACATTGTAATAAAAGACTTGTGCAGATTTGACTTCAACCAAAAATGTCTGAAAACGAAACAGGGATTGAACAGATGAATAACTAATAGGAATTGAAATTTAACCTGTGTTTCCACTGCAGGAACATAGTTGATGTTTTAGTTTCCCAAACAGGAACACATAAGGTTGTACATCTTGGGCCAGGGCCTATAGGCCTGTTGTTTCCAGTGCTTAAGGTTATAGATTTATCAAAAGAGGTAAGGATAAACATGACACAACCTGCCAAGAATCCATTTCAGCATATCAGCACTATGGTTGGTTAAAGGTGGTGTTGTACTGGACTGTATTATACATTTATATATTTGTGACAATTTCACTAAAAACAGAAACATTGTGAGCTTCATAAACACAGATGTTAAGGTGGGTGTGTTGCACTGAATTGCTGTGATGAGTGATGAGATAGAGTTCCTGGGAGTCAGGGTGAGCTGAGGACAGGAAGCAGTGTCAAAATAAAAGCATGAGACCGGAAGCAGGCAGGACAGAATCATGACACAGTAAGGACTAGTCCTGACTTTGTAAATTGAATAAATGTAATTTACATCTGAGACATATCCTAATGTGACTGTGTTCATTTTGCTTTCATTTATGATTACAATATTTTGTGTTGTGTGTTTTTTGATCCAGGTTAAGCTATCCAGATACAGACCACTTGTCAGTACTAGATGGAATGAGCTCTTTGTTCAGCTTAAAGGAAACACCTGCTGGGTCATCTTTGGACTGTGATGAAGAATCAGCAGCTGCGTTCTTGCCAGATTTTTGCCATTTTCTAAACAAGCCTTTAGCCATCCTCAACAATAAACATGCTTTAGATTCTGAACTCACACCAAGCAGTGCAGCAGCATGTGATTCATTATTGATATTATCTTCTCCTCAGTGAACTTTGACCATACATCTGGTGGTATACAGAACAGCATCACCACCAGCACCACCAATCCAGAGTTTTCTTTGGATCAGGACACGTTTCATACATTACCTTGGCAAACAACCAGATCAGATGTTTCTGACTGGGTTACACTGGTTTCACGTTGTCCTAAGTACATGCTGTAGTGTGTTTGTTTTTTATTGACCAACACAACAGAACGTCTCAGATATTTATAATGCTCTTGTTGCTGAGAGCCAGTACTGCTAGTCTTAACGTTGAATTTTCCAGTACACGTGATGTCCGAACACATGAAACCGTTTACCTTGTAATGTTCTGCATCCAGTTAATTTTGGATTTTACCAGCATTAAAAATGATCAATAAACAGCATAAACAGTTACTGACAAGGTTCTCACACATGACACAATGTAAACCCATCTACTGTACAAACTTGGAGACTAAACATCACACAGATGTTGGCTCACTTTTTAATTCTTAGATCAGATGCAACTGATTTTATAAACATCTGGTTTAAACTTTATTTTAAACGTACCTTAATAGAATCACTTGTTTTGCTTTGTGGGTTGCATACAAAGGCATATATAGTATTTCTGTGTTAACCCTGAGTGCACAATGGGACATTTTAAGCACAGAGAAAGGCTGCACATATACATTTAGTTGAAAAATGATTACCACACAAAATAAACACAAAAGTTAATTTGAGCAAAGAAACCTGCTCTGCGCATGATGAAATGTGCTAAAAATTCACAATTGCACTCAATTTCATGCTATATACACTCAAACCCTTACACACTCTAACAATATCAGTGTCATTATTGTGCTTTTTAAAAAATTGATGTGATTGCAGAAAGTCTTTTTCTTTGCTCAAAATGTCCAATTGCAGGCTCAGGACTGAGAGACAAATACTACTCTAACATTCCAGTTGAGTTTGGTTTGGCAGAGGACTATAAAACGGTAGGAGGGTCCAAATCAAAAGTGGTTTATCCTATGTTTCCACATACATACAGTACTGTTGCTGAGAAAAAAAAAACACACACACACACACACACACACACACACACACACTAAACATACAGTATAGGAGCATTACAAACAGAATCTAATGAACACCTGCACTTCAGACACATTAGAACTAAAATCAATCCAGTACAACAAAGTTTTGTTGCAGGACTTCCGCATTGGGTTGAATTGTTGCATATACTGTAGGTGTTGATTTTTGTTATGCCTGTGTATATGTTCTTCCCTTCTCCTTCAGATATGTCCATCTTTCTGAATGGAATTGGACTGAACCATTCTGTGCATTTTCAGATTCATTTGTAAGGCAGCAGTTGTAGTGAGGAGACCATCTTCCTCACATTAGTTAAAATCAGAATTTTATGATGTTACGTGGCTCACGTTGCATGATTTGTGGCTGGCTGTTTTGTACTATGATGAACAAAGCATATGAAACTACTTGGTTCACACCACTACTATGGTTAGGTTAAGTAATATTTGGCATATGTGTCAAGGACGTTTATCAGTATTTTTGATATAAACATGATACTGCCATATTATTTTTAAAAACTGTTTTTCCATTTCCTATTACTCTCATAGTTTTGGCTAATATACAAGTTATTTAAGGACTGTATTCACCGCCTCATTCTAGAGATGGTAAACATGAACAAAGAGTAGTTTTCCAGTGGAGTCAAAGAAGCCTTAAATGGTGGGAAACATTAGAAAGCTAATCAGTTTTCACAGTCAGGCTTTTGAATCAACAATTCAAGCACACAAATTGCTGTTATGTTCTCGAGTGACTTCATTTGTTTGCAGAAAATATTTCACTTTTGAACATTGTATGGAGGGGATGTCAAAGAAGACACTGTTTTTAAACTGAAAGAATATAGAACTCTGGAATCAGAGCTCATTTAAATCTAAGCAGATTTGTTTTTGTACAGCTGTGCTGCTACATTTGTTGTTGCTTCGTTAATACTGACCACTGTGGGCTGCTATCAGTTAGTTGCACATACTCTACATCATTACAGTATGTTGTCTAGAACAAGCACAATTGCAGTCAGACCATAGGCAATCTGATCTAAATAAGCCACTTGGATTTCATGCAGTTCTGTGTCACTGTTGAGACACAATAAATGGATGCACTAAGCCAGTTTGGCTGTTGAACACCAGCATGTTATCTTTAACCTTCTAAGGGCAAAAATTCAGTAATTCCAGGACAGCAATTAGTAATTTCTGTGTAGTTTATTAATTTGAGAGCATGATTTATTTTTAACACTGGCCGGTCTCTGTCCTTTTGTAAAACAGTGTGCAGAAAATCTCAGAGACCTCACTGGACCTATCATGGAAGCCACTTTTTAAGGTAAGAAATATATATATTGATGGTGATGTTGGTGATTTGGATGAGCTGTTCTTTAAAAAAAAAAAAAATTTGATATATGTTCAGAAATGTGATATAAAAATAAACAGTGTGGTGGCCCACACTGACTGGCTGATACATGATTTCTAGGAGAGGTCAACATTGCTGTGCCTTAGGTGCTTCAGGGTTCTTCATTTGCAAGCAGCTCCCAGCAGCTGTGTGTCACTGTGTCACCCCCTGCCTCCTCCTGATGATGGCTGTGATGGGTCCTTCAGGTAAAGCCTTGATCATATTCCAGGCCTCAAAGCGAGTCATGTCCTGCAGACTGACTCCCTGGACCTGCAGCAGTTCATCTCCACTCTGCAGACCACTCTGCTCTGCTGCACCACCTGACCCACACAAACGCATTCAGTTCTAACTCATGGTATCATTCACATTATTATGATAACCAGTTCTAATATGTTACCACCCATATTTTAGTGCTGACAACTTTTGTGTGTGTGTGTGTGTGTGTGTGTGTGTGTGTGTAAAATATTTTTGCAAACATTTTTTTCCATTTTCATGGTAAAGGCCAAGTAAATCACAGAATTAAATGTGCTCAAGCATTCATTACCAAGTTCCAGTAGGTCACTGTTTTACATGGTTGCTGGTGCAGAGATTAATCCTCTACAGATGTTACCTTACTTATTGTTAACTGCACAGCCTTTGCTTTTGTAAGAAAATCAAGATACTCTGAGTTGTGATAAGCAGTATATCAAGTATATAGTATATCAGTAATCAAGTCCAACTTTTTTTGCCATCACTTTGGCTTGATTCATTGATGGAATTTTGTACAAAAATCAACACTGTCAGTTTCTATGTATTAATAAGAACTTTTTTTAAAACCCTGAAATTAAAAGAGCATAAGCCTTGAATTTATTAGAAGTGCTTTCACTGTAAATATAATAAAACCACAACAAATCCTCCATCCTATACAGCCCATATGGTGTAAATCCCAATTCCCTTAATTGCATCTTAATCCAGCTTATGTAAGAAAATGTGAGGAGAGAGGAACTGAGGAAACATGTTGATACAGACATGAGACATCCTTTGCTCCAGTGCTTCATCTGAAGCATCCAATCACCAAGTGATTTCTGTTGGTTCGTAAAAGACTGTGCCTCTTGTATCCTCACTCAACTCTCCTCCAGGCAGCCTCCTCACTCCTCTGAGCAGGAATAAAAGCTTTGGGATGTCCTTCAAGATGGCAGACCAGAAGAACTTCCAAGTCAAACCAGGACTGAGGAGCAAGGAATGATCAAATAAGAGAATTGAGATTTACCCACTGTCAACTGTCTTTTCCTTCCCATACACCCATGGAAGCATCTTCTGAAACAGTGCTTCTACACTGGCAGGCAAGTCTCAAGAACTCTGCCAGTGACAACATCCCTAGCAATGGCGAGCTTTTTGGATTTACTATTGTGGTAATGGCAAGCATACCAGACCTCTCTCATCATGTAAACTGTCATTAACATTATGATTATGAAACTTTCATGGTTTCATTATGCTTTGTCACACAAACTACAGTTAGGTAAATAACACTGGAACACTACAAATGAGCCTTGCTCAGCCTGTGTTTTATATACTAATCATCCATCCCACCTTCCTCCTCATGCAGACTTTCTGCCTCCATATATTGCATCTCCTAACTTCTTCCTTTACTCATGTCATAATTACTACAGTCCCTAGAGGTTGCCTATAATACGTAACTGTTGGTCGTAATAACCTGCTTGCACAAATGGCATATACAGTCATTTTTTGCAGGACAGTCTCAGAAATCATATAATGTAAAAACCATGAGTGTACCTTTAAAGATCCTGTTGATGACCAAAGGTCTGTCTCCATGGATTGAGCCTTTTCCTCCCTCTAGAGTAAAACCAACTCCTCCAGCTCCTTTCTCCAGCTCCACACTCACCGGACCTCCCTGCTCTTCCACTGTAGCACAAAATGCAGTGAGCAAAGCAGGGCAAATGTAGTATACATACCTTTTATTGCAGGGCTGAAGAATTCAGGTGTAAATGATCTCTTAGCACAAAATGTGAAGCCTTTGTTGGCCTAGGTGAACCACAGAACTTATTTTCCGCATAAACTGAAAAGCTTGCTTTAAATAAACAGTGGAAATCTGGCCCAAACTGTTATGGTTGAGTCCCCCTCACTAGGGGGGTGAGGGAGAACTGAGGTAGGACTCAATGTGCAGACCCAGGTGCTAGTAAAAAAAAAAAGGTGTTTTAATGGGCGTAGGCAAAGAAACAGAGGCAATATACAGTACTGAACCAGGGTAGGGCAAAGACGGCTGAGGAGACCAGGATGAGCAGATGAGTAGACAGAACGGCAGGAACCAGGAGAGTTAGAGGACTAGGATGGACAGGTGAGTAGACAGAACAACCAGGAGGATTAGCAAATGCCGTCAGGGAAGCAGAGTAGCGAATGAAAAAAGAAATCAACAGCACAGGAACTGTCAGCATTGAAATCAAGAGACGTATAATACAAAAAAAACACATAACCAAGGTACAAAAAGAGATCCACAGCACAGGAACTGTCAGTGTGGAAATCAAAAAGACGTATGACACATACCATGAATACAGGTGTGTCTACAGGTATTTAGGTAGGAAGCGTCTGCCAGAGGTTTAAATAAGGAGGACGGTATTACAGTAATGCGCCTCAGCTGTGCGCTACAAGTCACTAATTACAGAAAGCGACTCAGCTGAGGCGCCGATCCCTCAAAAAGAGCGAGCAGGAGAGAGAAAGGCAGAAGAGAGGCAGGTCGCGCAGAGCGGACCCAACACAAACCTTTGTGTGTTTTTGTGTCTTACCTATAGGGCTGGGCTCTTTGCTCTTACAATCTCCTTGCTCTCTTCCTTCCTCCTCTGCTCTCTTGCAGACAACCACCACAGCCAGCTTCAGACTGCGGGCCTGACGCAGAGCAGTGGTGGCATCAGTGTGTGTGACACCACGCAGTGTTTGACCATTTATAGACAACACCTCATCTCCTTTCTGGATGGTGCCCTCCTGAGCTGCCAGGCCACTGGGAAACACTCTGTGGACCTACACAGAAGATGACCAGTGTCACGTACACATAAATTCAGAGAAAGCGTGCACAGTATCAACAGTGGCACACAGTGTGAAATGCAGGGGAGAGGTACTGTAGCATTGTAAAGGAGGAAAATCTTCATCAAGAAGAGCCCGGTCACCTGCCTGAACGACTACAGGCCAGTGACACTCACTCCAATTACTATGAAGTGTTTTGAGACAGTGGTGCTGGCCCGCATTCAGAGCAGTATACCGGACCCCCTGGACCCCCTGCAGTATGCCTACTGGCCCAACAGCGCCACCTCAGATGCCATCATGACTGCCCTCCACTATTCCCTTTCTCACCTGGAAAATGGAGACACCTACATCAGGATACTCTTCACTGACTACAGCTCCGCCTTCAACACAGTTGTCCCCCACAAACTGTCCACACTGGGTCTGCACCCCACCCTCTGTGACTGGCTCCTGGACTTTCTGACTGGCAGGCCCCAGACTGTCAGGATTGGCAATAGGATTTCAGCCAGCATTGTTACAAACACTGGCACCCCACAGGGACGTGTCCTCAGTCCCATCCTCTACACCCTGTTCACTCACGACTGTGTCGCCACCCACAAAGACAACATCATCCTAAAGTTCGCGGACAACACCGCAGTGATAGGTCACATCATTGGCGGGGACAAAGCAGCCTACAGGAGGGAGGTGGCCGGTCTGGTGTCATGGTGCAAGGACAATAATCTCAGCCTCAACACGGACAAGATGAAGGAGATGATAGTGGACATGAGGAAGGAGAGGAGATCTCATCGGCCACTGTTCATCCGGGGGCTCGAAGTGGAGAGGGTGAGCAGCTTCAAATACCTGGGCGTCCACATCAGTGAGGACCTCACTTGGACACTTAACAAGTTTTACAACTGGATTCACGACATGATTAAGCTGCAACAAAGACTTGCACAGATATTCCTGATGAATGATGCAGTGATCTATGTGCAGGAACGCTGCCTCCATCCTCAAAGATCCCTCCCACCCCCAGCATGGACTGTTCACTTTTTTGCCCTCGGGCCGGAGGTTCAGAAGTGTGAAATACAGGACCACTAGACTGAAAAAGTCTGTCCCTCTGCCATCAGACTCCTAAACAGCTGTTACCAGGAAATATGTGATGTACTGTTTACATTCTCAGTTTGCACATGCATAATTGCACATTGACTGTTGACTGCTACACATGCTGCTCACATGCAGCATACATTTATTACATTCTTATATATTTTTATTATACTGCTGTATTTGCTTCTTAAAGTGCGTTAGATTTTCTGTTACTTATTTATCTACTTTATATTTCATTTGTATTTTGTGGCATTCATGTGGACAGCAAAGTAAGAATTTCATTGTACAGAGAAACACGTTTCCTAACTGTGCATATGACAAATAAACACTTTGACTTTGATCATTTGTTTATGATAAGTGTCCTGAAGTATAAATGTATATTTCTCTATGAGATCAATCCAGTCAGTCAAATCAAAAATCAACCAACAGTTAGCTTGGTCTTGGGTAGATTCTGTTCCGTTTCATCCTTTAATTAAAAAATTATTCACCAGCAAAGACGTGCCCATGCAGTCTCAAACATGTTTGATTACTGTAACACTTTCTTTGCTGGGAAAGTCAAACAGACAATAGGAAGGCTCCTACTCATTCAGCAGACAATAGGAAGGCTCCTACTCATTCAGCAGACAAACTGTACATTGAAATATAACAACATTACTTCAGCACTTCAATCACTTCATTGGGTCCCAGTTCATTTAAGAATCAACTTCATGATTCTCTTCATAGTCTTAAAAGCAAGCACAGTGGTCACAAGCTACTTTGGTCCCATTCTCTGGAACAAACTGCCTGATGACCTGAGTCTGGATCTGTTATATTTCAAATGTCATTGTGGTTATAGAGCCACAACTGACATGCATTCACCTTCATTATTTTGGGTGGAAGCAGATATTTCAGACAGAAACTGCAAAACCTGGACAAAAACAAAACAATCAAACAATCAAAACCAGCTGTGCAGACAGATACCATTAGAGGTAATTAGAATATATGTTCTTTTATCCTGCTGGATGAGCCAGCTTTTTCATGATGCCCATGACTTCTTACACCTGTCTGGGACTATGGTGACTTATGTCTGTAGGTACAGACATAAGTGAATGAAACTGTTCAACAGAATAAATGAACACTTCTCCTCAATATTGAGATCATCTGCAGGTGGTGGTGAGTATAAAATCCTGGACAGCTTGTCTCAGCTATAAGTCAGTCTAACCCTTGTGTTAGTGCATCAGTATTAATCTCTAGTGAGCACCGCTTACTGTAAGAGCTTTGTTCTCCAGGTCAGACCCTCCAGCGATGCTGAAGCCTAGTCCAGCTCCCTCCTCTTTATGCAGAATCACAACCTGGATGTCCACCAGTTGCTATGGAAAGGAGGCAGTTAGTATAGTTTATGATCAGCTCAGATTACATTTTTAATTGACTCATTAATCTGAAGGGACTTTGAGTTCTGCATAAAGTTTGTATTTCTAGATCATAGCTCCAGATGCAATATTTTCTGCTGAATTATTTTTCAAATCAAAGACTTTTTTTCAAAGAGTCCAGGCCAAAATGCCACATAAAGCACAGAACCAATGCATGCAGAAGAGACTGGCAGAAACAAACAGCATACACAAGACTCAAGTGTAACAGCTGGGTTGGCAGCTCTGTGAGGGTGTACTCAGAAAATTTCATGTTGTTGACATATTTTAATCTGGACAAAGTGGGTGACCAAACCATTCAACATTACATTTCTTAGAGCCACGCTGCCATCTTAACCAAAGAAGGCCTGAGTATGTCAATTGATAAATACTGTACATAAATGCTTTTTACAAATTTATGTAAATTCTTGGTACATACAGGACTGAGGGTCAAAAGAAGAAATGTGTCTTCTAAATCTGAAGTTGTGTGGTGAGTGAGTTATGTGAATGCTCACAGGATGGGTGCTATGCATCTAGTGTGGTAGTTGTAGTGCAGAAAGGGCTTATACCCTCTTGCTCTCAGCTACCGCCTCTGTCTAGCCCTTTTTGGATGAAAAGGAGGCCAAGCGTGTAAGTCCTCCCTGACACTACATAGCCTCTCCACCATCTAGACCCTCACATTAACTGGGTATCTTGTGGCCCCAGGCTAAATACCTAGGGTTCTTGGAGGAGCTTGGCCCCCAGAGATGAGGTGTGCAGGCCCACCGGTGTGTGGACAAGCTCTGGTACCTACAAACCAAGCCCCACGTATGGATTAAATAGACAGCAACCATGCTGTAAATGATGTAAATGGTGAGTGATCTGTACACTCAGCGGAGGAGGGACATGGAAGTCCTCAACGGCAAGGGCAGAGGAGCTGCCATGACACTCAATGGCCTTTTTTTCTAGAGGACTTTTTTTCTAATGAAATAAAGTATTACATTAAGGATTTCCTTGTATGGTCATAAAATCCAGGCCATTACATGTTCATGTGAGCTTGCCTGACATCCACCGATGCCTCCACCATACTGGCAAAATATTATATTACCTTGTTTGTTATGTATCTTTTCAATAAGGCTTATAAAAATGCATCAGCTCATCAACGATGGATTCCCTGGGAGCACAGAACCTGTTTTCTTTTGACTGCTTGAGACCGTGTGTCTGCCGCATGTGTCATGATTCGGTTCCGCTGCTTCCTGTCTAACTTTTTTTTTTTTTATACCTTACTTCCTGTTTTTGTTTCACCTTAGTTTCAGTCTTTTTACGTTCTTCATCACTCACATTGGTTTCACCTGTTTCGTTATTGTTTGCACCTCTATTTAGGCAGCGTCCTCCCATCAGGACGCTTCCAGATTGTTCTAGACCCCAGCTCTGACTTTCCAGCATTCTCTTCGATATTGGTATTTTTGTGTTTCTGACCCGGACTGCTTCCTTGGATTATTCTGTTCTGCCTTGCCCTCTTATTTCGGACTGCTTCAGGCTTAACGGACTTATCTTTGGACAACGCGTTTTGGATTCCCCTGGATGTATGTGTCTGCTGGCTCTGATCTCGGACTGTTATACCGACCGTGAGTTTTGTGATTCCATCGTGTCTTGTATGGCTCTGATCTCGGACTGTTATACCGACCGTGAGTTTTATGTTTCCACCGTGTCTTGTATGGTTTTTTGTTTACATTAGTTCTCTTATTAAAGAGATGGGTTTTGTTCATTACTTCATCGTCTGGCCATTTAATGAGTTCACCTAACACTTTTCGGCTGCATTACGCGCACCGTTTCTGACAGTACAATCTGGCCAAAACTATCTCAGCCAGCGAGGAAGTCAGAGCCAGCCGATTTCTAGTCCTGCATACACCCCCATCATAAACAGACAGTATCAGCCGATCATGAACTTTGTGCACTCGGGTGTTAGTCATCCCACAGCCCTGCTTGCGAACCAACGGAAGAGCAAGCCAGGTATGGGCCCAGCAGACAAACGCCGGGAGCTGGGGGCCCTCGTCTATGTGCAGGCCTGTCAGCAGATGTGGCTCACACTAAGAGAGGCCCCACCCCATGAGTTCCTTCACCTCCAGGCGAGTGTACAATCTGCTGCCACTAGGCTCTTGCACTCTTGCCCAGCACAGAGCCCCTCTCCATTCGAGGGAACCCAGTGGGCTATCTGCCCTGGGGGTCCAGGGAAAAGGAGGGCCCAGAGGAGACCGTCAGCTGGGGCCACCATTTCTGTACCCAGTCTCCAGCACCACGCCAGCTGCAGCCTCCAGAGCCTTAGCCAGCGCCAT